TGGTGATATCATCGCTCGACAGGATTCAAGTCCTAGTGGTGGGTTCAACTCTATGTCTGAAAGACGAAAGAGGTTTGGGTAATTTTCTGAAATCTTATTTAGATTTTTCTTTTACTTTTCATCTGACTACACCAATGAAGCTGTGGACAAAGAAGCAACGAGTCATTCGATGCTAGCATGCCCTTGATTTCCAAATTCCTGCTTCATTTTGAGCCGCAGAAACAAGAAGGCAATGAGCGTGCTAAGTCCTATTCTAGTTAAGACATACAGGTTGGAGAACAAAAGAGAATAAATAAAGAACGATGATAATCATGTCAACTTTGACAAAAGAATACAACAGTAATACGCTGGTGATTCAGTTTTGGTGCTTATACAATCTCACTGATCACCTCTCAACAAAAAATAGATCACTCATCTGTGTGATGCGTTTTCATTCGGTCCCTTTTATCGTGGATTTCGAAGATACCATGTGTTATCATGATTATTTGGACGTAGTGGACATGATCTTGGATGGCAGAAGACAAAATATGCCTCGAGAAACATTCTAGGTCGCCATTGAAGGTGACGGTGGAGTTGTGATCGATTCCGGAGTTCCATAATCATATTTGACCCTTCTAGCATCCGATCTGATGATTCAAGCATTCAGATAAGTTTTTTACAATTTTGGTATGCCATATTAGCCTCCGAATGAAGCTGCTAATACACCCTGCATGCATACGAAAAATCTTTTCCTACGTCCCTGTGTGTGCCAGTAGGGTGTATTAGCAGTCACACAGTGGGCACAGTCAGATCAATACTTTTGTGTATTTTGGCCTTGCTGGCTGGATCTATCAGCCTTGTTGAAGATGAGATCAATATCGAGAGTAAGTAATCATCTGATACTGTCATGAAGCACTGTCATTTACTGGGCAGGCGATGAAATTTGCCGGCGAGGTTTATGGATGTACCACAATGCAAGCTGATCATGCCTTATACTATGTTACAATAATACCTCTGCCATGTACAGAACAATATAATGATCACACAGTTCTGAACAGTGCAGAGCACGAAACATTGAGCATGTAAAACCTTCTCATTTGTGATACAATTCTCAGTAGAACGCAAAACAGAAACCCTGTGCCATGTTCAAAGTACGCAATACAAGATCATTTATAATTAAATACAAAACTTTGACTGTTCAGAACAACTTCTCTCCAAGTAATAAAGAGTAATCTGAAACGTTCTTGAAGAGACTTGACGTACTCCTAGGGAAGATTAGAATCCACACAAGTGCATTGCACATGTACAAAAATACAATCTTCATAAGACTATTTTGTAGCATGCCAGCTATCTCTATGGCAGACTGTAGCAAAAATCAGGTCACTTGTGCTAATAAGATCTGACTATCTAGGACGATCAAGAAACTTAATACCAATACTGGAGAACAAGTCAAATTTAAGAAATATGGGGAATAGGTGCAGGCAGGTGTCATCATTGTATTACGCTTAAACCAAGATCTTGATGCCCAAATCATCATCAATAAATTTCAGAAGTGTTGCACTTTAAAAAGAAAACAAAGTTCGCGTAAATATCCAGAAAGATGCGAAAGTTGTTAATTACTCAACGTTGTGGAAATTGTAACCGGGGCCATCGGTACGATTTCAACAATATACAGATTATAAAAACATCACCTGATCTACTTGAAAACTAACTCTACCTGCTATACCTACAATTTCAATGGTGAAGAAGAATTTCACGTGTCCATGAAAGACGAAAAAATAACTGAGTTGACCTGCATAATGCCTACACTACTATACCGACGAGTTGCAAGCTTCTCGCGCCAGAACAATCGCAACAGGTCAATCCTGAATATTGTCGAATGAAGCTTTGAAACAGATTAAACCAAAGCAGTCAATGTATTACCATGATCCATTCTCGTTGTATCTCGACAGACTCAGACAATTATATTGACAACTTGCACATGGCCTCGCACGTAATCTGCTGGCATGCTCCTGTGTTGTCCGATGGAAGAGCTAGTGATGGATAAGGCACGGATAAGACAACACATCAAAGTTACAGAACTCTCACACAATGCTTCAGCTGCACTCTTCGTAACAGTCACTGCCGTAGAGCTTCAAGCTTCTTTTGGTTTCAGACACCTGCTTCGTACTGTGATTGATTTTCGGGCCATCTTTAGCTACACAAATTACGTTCAGCCTAAATGACGTCATAGTATCCACAAGCTTCGTCCTCATGGGAAATTTTCTTATGAGCTTTTCTAGATAGATCAGCTGCGGGAAAGTTTCACGGAAACATCAGTAATGTAAGTTTTCCCTAACCAGGATTCTATGAAGACAGAAAAGAAACAGTTGAAAGCCGCAAGAACAAAGAACAAACGAAGAAGCCGACGTATCCGATTCTTCATAGCAGAAAGGACGGTATAGAGGTGCTGGAGGGGCACCCCACAAGTTACTGCCATGTAATCGTTGGTAGCATCCTTAAGTCCGTTGGCTTGCTTTGAAAATCTAGGTGACGCGGGTGGCCTTGCCTCATGACATTAATAAGCCTAGGTTGCCGAATAAATGAAGATTTTCATACCCGTCTAAAATAAATAAACTTTCACAAATATGCTTCTAGCTCATATTCCCATAAGTAATTTATCTTACATTCAACAACTGAAGCAAAAGAGTATATATATATATATATATATAAATAGATAGTGGAATGTTAAAATGATCAATTCTAATGTTAAAACGACCACATTGAGACTAGAGACGTGGCTCATGGTCACAAGACTTGTATAATTATTTTTTTTTCGCACACAAGTTCAAGTATCAACTGCGAGCCTGTTTTTGGCTTCCCCTCTCCTTCCTTTGCTAAAAATTGAGATGATACTTCCATGGACCAAGCCATTACCTTGCAACAAAGGATTGACCAGCTCTCTCTCAAGTTCATTTTTGAAATCCAAGATGTGTTTTTTACAGGTGACGCGTCTGTGGTCATTTTAATATTAGATGTTGTCGTTTTAGCATTCCCCTATATATCTATATTTTTATTTTACTCTATATTTTTATCTTCCTATGTTATTCGATTCTGATGATAAAATCAATGCAACTAATAAAATAACCGTCTTCAATTTTGAACCTGATCTTCTTCTAGCAATACTCAAAATAATATTTAAAACCAATTTCAACTGGATTGCTGATGGTACTATTTGGACCTCTGACTGAGAGCTACAAGATGACTGATCTGAGCGACTACATATTCAAGTCAAATCTTGCAATAAATGTCATAACAAACAATCACTTTTATGTTTGTAAATTTGACTCTTTATAACGAAGGGTTATCCAGTGGTTAAGTAAGAGCAGATTAAGTTCCATCACTTCCTTTTTTCTTGATAGTTTTACATTCATTCACAAGGTGTAGGATTTGAAACTGGGTAGACTATCTTCCATTTCCCTTATACTTATCAAGAAGGCAAACAAAAATTCTAACTTTTGCAAAGATAGGTTCTGGATTGGAGATCGATAGCCAAATATAAGTTAGATAAGTTTGCACTAGCAGAAACATAGTCTTAAGCCATTCAACAATTAGTCAAGACTCAGAGGTATTAGACTTCAAGCTGCATATTTCACAGAATTGGACAAAAGGACAGCGACATGAATCCTATGAAATTTCTCTCTGCTTTCGTGATCATGCAGTGGTCATTATTTCCAAATTGAGAGAACACAAAGTCAAATTAGAATATGTGTTTAGGGTGGATACTGTGATCGGAGACAATTATGGTCATTCAAGGACCTCAATTGATGTGGCCCCTATTATATTTGAAGGCACAATGTCAGAGATTCCGGTAGTTGGTATTGCTTTGCCACATAGAAGTTAAGATCGAGTTTTTTCTGATTATGGACATAACAACAATAGTGGACACAAGTCTTCAACTTTTGTCAGCGCGCATCGAAAAGGATGTAAGAGATGAAGCAAAAAAGTAGCTTTACCAATTAACTATCCTCACGATCCTACTTATATCTTGAGGTAGGTATACCGAATCTTATTAGAGGATTTATTGTGTCATATCATTCGTGACCGACAGTTGAAAATGATATCCAAGCATGCATTCCATTTCTCTTATATCACCCTAGTATCTTTACCAGAATTTGGACATAAAATCGCCATGAAGTATGGATGGATATGAGCATGCATGTTAGAAATGTAGAGGAGACAGATGGCGACACGCGGAATAACGGTAGAAGGAGACGCTATCGAAAGAATCAAAAGCAAAGCGCTTCGAAGCTTATAAGGCACCAACTCCCTCGGCCCAAATGAGGAGAGGGCTGGTCTCTCTAGTGAAGAATAATTGCTTTTCCACCTCGACCTCTCGTCTGATATCTCCTTCCTTTAGCTTGTAAGATCTACAAGGAGAAGGGTTCCAATCGATCCTAACCTATCTGTCACCATCGCTCAAATTTACGGTTCCTAGTAATTATTTCGTATTCCAGTCCTGTTTTAAAACTTCTGAACCGCGGACATAAAACAAAATATATCTCAAAATGGACAATTCTTTGGGGTTATGATTGATATGAAGGGTTCGTTAAGGGGGAAATTATAACTTTTGAAACTACCATCTTTTAGCATACCATTTTGATCTAGTAGTTCATAAAAGGTGGACAGTGCTGTGAATTGTGCCTGCTTCAACCTGAATATGAACGTCGCAATCATAATTTTCAATCCCAATAAAAAAAAGTAATTATGACTTTATCAAATAGGATTTTCATCTGAGAAGTGTGGTGTCAAGACCTTAACATACATATACGCTCACATTGTGATATCGCTCAATAGAGTAATCAAGTCCATGCCTAGGACGGTCCTCTACCAAAATGAGGCTGGTCAGGTTCACATGTCAATATGTCCTAGTTCTCCAGCTTTGACTTCTGAGCTATCACACTGCAGAAAATCTCTGGTTCATGGTCTTCTTTTTAAGCCTCGAGTGCATAGTACCGTGGCAACAAGCAATATATTTTCCAGTGAATAAGGAATTCAATATCATGGGAAATAGATAGCTCTAAATTGTCCAGTATCACACTGAAGGCGGTGATGCAATGTCACCCATTGTACCAAGCCAACATCTTCCGTCGGGTATTTTGCGATTAACCTTTCCACTTACTTATCACGCTGAACGTGGATATCAGTTCTCTAAACCGTGGACTTGACCTCGCCAAAAACAAGGAGTCGAGGGATCCTGTATTGAAGAACACAAACTGTTCTTAAAAATAAATACTCCTTGTAGTCAACCATCTCCAAGCCCAGGCTTCAAGGAGATCAGTTGCTACCATCTCTCGATAACTAATTAGCTCATATCTCATTTCGAAGAAATAACCTGTAGACGATTGAACAAATAGCATCGCCTGTCGGTTCACCCTTGGAGAAGATCTGAACTTCGGTCTGAAATTATACAATCAGTGAAGTGCTGGCGAGCAGTGAAATTAATGAGTCAGCGAAAGAGCCTTTACATGTAAACTAGGTGATGCCATGAAAGAAGCCCAGAAAGAAATGGAAACTGGTATTGAGCTGCAGATTAGATTACTGATTATGCATCCCATTGAATGTTGATCTCATTCTTTGCTTGTTGGTCTCTGCATGCGATATCGTGCCGTGTCGGAGTCTATGGTTAAACATTTGGGCTTCCATGCAGAACTCGTGCCGCTAAAGTTTTAAGAGCATGTCCTTATTATGGAGATTGCATCTTGCATCTAAGCAAATGTCCGTGCACCTCGAACGTATGCATTTTCGAAAGATGTGTGCGCTCGTCTACCTTCTCGCCTCGCCAGGCTCCCTGATCTGCCTGCGGCATTCCGCACGACGGTTTTGCATTTGTTCCCGACCTCCAGCCAAGGACTCTTCATCGTCACAGCCCAAACTTCTAACTCCCCCTTGTCCACATATTACCCCACCGGACTCATACCCTTCTACGGCAACATGATTAAAGTGTTCCGTAAGTTGACCATGTCGATTGATGGTCTTAGCTGTTTGCTGATGGCACTTTGATCCTTCTTTATCATCTTCTCGTTCTGCTTTACCCACGGACAAGGAGATTGAGAAGAAACCGAGCGCTGTCGCTGCAGCCCTTGAATCTTCCTTCCACATCGGTCAAGAAAACTCAACGCTTTAAGTTTACCTTCAGAAGCTGCGGAAAGAAATTTGCAGTAGAGTCGTGACGTCTTCGAGTGCACAGTCTGAAGGCGGTTCGCAAGCATGTGATAGATACGCTTCTATCCTTTTTCAGCATGTCCGGGTAAAAAAACAAAATGTGCAGAAATGAACCTGTCACAAAACCGCGCGTGGTAGATGCCACCCATATCCAGACCTTCACTGCGAACGATCACGCAACTCCGCAGGCTACCGAAGCTTTGTACCTCGCACTCTGCACCCACTCTTCATTTCAGCTCCACATGCCTCCGACGTACGCCATAGTGAGAATCTGCAGTTGGGAATGCGGCAAAGGCTCCGATCCGGTGAACATTGCGCTGTCGAATTCTCCGGACAGTGTTTGGGGTGGGATCAGGAAGGTTGCAGCATCGTCGAGATTTGATGATCGCTTCTGGGTTCATCGGAGCGAAAGATCGAGGGATCAGAAAATTGTATGATTTCTCGTGAGGAGTGTGGGAAAGCCATGGAGCGCATGGACAGGCCTCCGCGGCCCCGCCCTCACGAGCGGCAGATGGAAGGGGCCCAGACGCCCCCGGTGATGGAGTTCAAGGCGCACCCCATTCCGCTGGCTCGGATCCGGAGAATCATGCGAGCGGATGCGGACGTGAACATGATCTCGGCTGAGACTCCGGTGCTGTTCGCCCGAGCGTGCGAGATGTTCATCGAGGATTTGACCGCCAGGGCCTGGAAGAAGGCCCAGGAGAGCGGACGCAGGACCGTCAACAAGAGCGACATTGTCCAGATTGTCAGTGGAACCAAAATTTTGGACTTTCTGGATGACATCCTGCCTCCGGAATGGGCCTCTGGATCCAAACCCGAGCAAGACAGGATGGAAGAAACTCCACCGAAGCCTTTTCCCGATGCCGTGAGTGATTTCGTATCTCTTTCGTGTGCACAAAATTCTCAGAACTATTTCACCATGTGCCACTTGATTTAATGATCATGGAGCTTTCTAAGCGAGTTAGACATATGCCTTGAGTAAGGATTGTGTCAAACTTCAGGATAAAACCTCGCGCCTTTCTTTTGTTCTCAAGTTGAGTTAGAGAAGTAGTTGTTTTATTGGATTACTGTCTTCAACGACACATCGACAGCCTTGTGAGGGAAGTTTGTATTGGTTTCGACCGGAGAAATCTTTATGAACATGACATTTATTAGGGAATAATGTGTTTATTTGAATAAAGGAGCTAAGGGCACGGCCTAAGAAATTATGGGGATAAAAGTTTCGTCTCTTGATGAAGTATTTTTCACTGGCGGATGCATGAAATGAAACCCTTGACGTATAAACAAAAATTTCATGTCCTACGAAGAAGTTTCATTGCTGGAAGAAACTGGAGATTGTGTTTGTGACTTGCATCTCTTGTACTTCGGGTATGTACCTCAAGAATAATCTGAACGAAAAGTTATCCATTCTGAAACAGCAGAAGAAACTTGTGATATCGACTCTTCTTAACCCGCTAGGGAGCACTGAAACATTGAGTCGCCGACCAATTGCTTCCAGCTTACAAATCACAGTCTGAGCTCCATCTATTCTTCAACATGTCACACAAGCAATCAGTTTTCAGTAACACTCTGTTCCTCCGAAGCTCAATTACCTCCGAGCGTTCATGTCATCGAACATTCTCACTCATGATTGGTGGATCATCGGCAATGGAAAATTCATCCTGAAGACATTTTATCCCGTTTCTAATCTGACTACTGCGGTCCTCCTGGAACAGACATAGAGACGGAATTAGAGCTTTGGTATGAAAGTTAATCCATTGACAAGCTAGTCATGTTTAATACGTTCTCCACACTATCCATCTGTATGTCTTTTCTGAATGATTTTCTCGTGTCTTTTGTTAATAATTTCATGGAGGAGGTCTTCTGGTATAATTCCATTTATAATTATTCTTTGTTAATCAAGTTTTTTGGTGCTGTACTTCTTTCAAAAAGTCACACCCTCCTCTACCTCTTGAGATCAGTTGCTAGTGCGTGATTGTGCAGTTTATTCCATTAAGTTAATTAGTGACATTCTAAAATTTTACATTAAACATGCAATAAATTTCCAACATGTGAAGAACTCATGGCAATTGGTATTTCCGAAGTCTAGTAACGCTTTCCACCCACCATAGCCTCATCCCGTTCAACCTTTGAAGGCAGAATCATTTGTTTAAGCCCGCAGACAATTGTATGGAGTCCAGATCTCTTTCCTTGCTCCTGACCGAAGCCATGGTGTTAGTTAGTAGGTGTCTTATTTGTTCTGTTGTTTGTGAAGGCTTTCAAATGTGGCAACCTTTAACAACCTTCACAAAAAACAGAACAACCCAAGAGATTCAAGCTGCACTATGTTTCTAGCAAACTGCGGGAGTCACTGTCACCAACTTGCAAATTTGCGGGCAAGAGATCGACATTGGCTCCTATATTTGAGGCTTTGAATCAAAAGAGAAAGAAGAGAACCTGAATTGTCATCGTTCGATAGACTCGAGTCACTCAACCCGCCAAAGTAGGACAGTCCTTCACACTTCAATCAAAGTCAGATTCGTAGTGCAGTTAAAAAACAAAGAACATACATAAACTTCACTGGATCACCGCAACGCAATCTTTCACTGGGATTTACGTTTGAAATTTCGCAAAATGGTATCCAGGATATCCATCTGGACAAACTAGTACCCAGTCAGGTCAAAAGCTGTATAAAAAGTGATTCAAAACTACAGCATGAGTTACATCAGGAACAAGATTCGCTGCCAAGCTTCCATTAAAAATTGATTCTGGTGACAAGATGGTATGATTCAGAAAGATCTTTCAAACTGCAGCGAAGGGGTCTAATCCAGGAGCAAAAGCGGATGAGATCCAGTCCCAAGTTCCGTGACGGCTAGTGGTTGCACATGGTAATATATTCCATGTATTCTCCTGGATGTCGTAGACCCAAAACGTGTATTGTTCAAGTGTCACGTCGTACCCGTAGTGATATGCAAAATTTTGATGAACAAAGCCCTGCAAAACTTCCACAGAAACTGGATTTCTACACGAATGTACCTCTGACACGTCTGTATTTCCAGAATTTCCCTCCAATGTGTCTATATTGATATCTATGCTTCGGATGTCGTAACCGAGGGGATAACATGAAAATCCAGGTACCATCAAACCCAACGATGAAGGTGAAAAATGTAGTAGTGCATTTCCGTTCCTCTCAATATTCCCGAATGAAAAGTGTCTCAATGTCCACGATTGGGTGCCTATGCAAAATCTTACTAGAGTAAATTTCCCTGTGTGGTTTTCCGAAAACAAGCCATAAAGACATTTGTTGTGAATGGCTGAATGTTCTAGAGAAAATGTGCTGGGCGATGAAGATTCCGAGTACTTTTGGGGCATATTCGTTTCTTGACGAAATAGCTGCCACGACCGCAACTCGGATGCATAAAGTTGAATGGTGCAAACCAGACGCACCCCCATCTTGCAGCAATTATACAACAAGAGTATCTTGTAATTAGGACACCCGCCTCTGATAAGATGAACAGCACATGGCAGTCTTCCGTGGTCGAAAGGAATTTGCTCTGGACTCGTTACGTCCAGCCAACTGCCTGTCACGACATTCGCTATTTGCACCTTCAGGGTGAAGTCAGAGGCCGATATCCGTTCTGAAGAGCCGCATGTCCACACTCTGCAGAGTAGAGGGCCTTCCAATACTCTCAGTCTCAATACTCCTGTTGCATCCCTATCGGAAGGTAACCAAGGATGTAAAGCAAATTCTTTCCAGCGATTGGAGCTTAGTTCGAAACCGATGAACCCAAAAGTCGTCGCCTCACATGGGAAATACGTGGGCCATGTCGAAGAAACGGAAGCAATCTCGCTCTGGAAGAAAGAGGAGTCGCGAAGAACTTGAGGATCTACCTTCAGTTTGCGTGACACGTGAACGACTTGTCGTCGGTCGGCAAACATCGAACACCATTGTTTGGACAAGCGGCGAACCTCCAGAATTTGTGGGAATGGGAGCCGCGCGAGAATTTTCTCGACGATGAATTGCGGAAAATCGAACGTGAACCTGCTCGTGCCTCCTTCTGTGACCTCCATGTCGGAGGGTCACGAGGAGCAGCGAAGACTGATGCTCGTGGCGCAAGGCCGCGCCCTTTAAAGGCGACGACAGTGCGCCGTCGCCGCCTTCCACTTCTAACCGAGCTCCCGACCTCCTAATATTCGAATCCTCACTATCGGACTTCCGTTGCATCGCATCCGAATTCAAGACACGAACCTGCGTTTTGCAACGGCCGTGCGACTTGACTGTCAATTGCAACGGAAAATTGAAAGACAATTCAATGTTAAAATAGAAGCCCTGATTTTCAAGCTCTATAGGATTAAATTATTATCTGTAATAAAATGTGGCTACAATTGAACAATTTATTTATAATAAAGATCTACGATGGCTTCAGGAATTTTGAGGCCATCGTACCTGAGGGCAAATGTTAAAAAAAAATGCTCTGAGATAATTCCGGATACCAGATTCATTTGGTTAACATCTAACTTATCCTCGTTGGTGATATTCCAATCTGAGGTTGCTGTATCGGCGTAGCGACTTCCGCAACATAAGTTCGTTGCATTGTTATATATATATATATATACACACTCAGCTTGCATTTTGGTTCTCATCTTGCTCTTGAGATAATATACTTCTCTATGCATATGGATCATTATTTCTGTCGGTATCGCCACCAGGAATCATTCTTATATCTTGGTTCTCAGTCCTTTCTTCATACGACCTGAATCCAACATCTTTATCAACTGTTTCAAAAGATATAAATCCGAAGTGTTTCTCTTTTGATTTATCATCATCATCCAGGCATATGGAGTTGCATGTACAAACAAATAGAGAATGTATGTAGCTTTTTGGGCTTACTATCTCGTCGCTTTAAATTTATTGATTGTCATGATGTGAATCATGGAACCATAGAACCATCATGTATATTGTCTAGAATTATTGAATTTTTTTCAACACGTGTATTATGATTCTCTATTTGTCAAGATTGTCTTATATCATGCCGACAAAATCCACATTATTCAACGGTTATGTCTGCAAACGAGACATCTCCAATTCAGCACAAAAATCGAAGAGATCAAGTAATTTGTTCCCCACCGCTTGGCAGAGATTGAGCCACATTCTTTGTAACAGCGTGGCCGACTATCAATATCTTCTATCAGTAACGACATCAAATGAACGAAGAATTTCTACAATTGGTTTTACTTCTCGATGCATAAACTGCAATCCGATGAGAATGATGAGGTTGGGGGGGGGGGGGGGGGGGGGGGGGGAGGTTTTTATGTCTTCCTCCATTAAGTAAGATCCAGTGTCTTGAACTTGACTCAAATCAACAAGTCAATGTGCTCCATGAGAGTCGATGTGGTCCATATTGAACCACTATGGACCACATCGACCAGACAACGACTCTGTGCTGTTTGCCTTGAGTTTATTTATTGAGCATTTCTTTCTACAGCAATTTATATCGACAGCAAAATTAAATGAGAAATATATCTTATTACTTGCTTCTAGAACCTGTATAGAAAATCCAGTTGCATGTGTCTTCACGTTGGGAAGCAAAAAAAGTAAGTGAGTGACACCTACCTATGATACTTCACGCCTACGCTTTCGGTATGTTTGTGATGATCTCCTTCGAGACCAAAACAATGAACCTTGCCGGTAGGGTCATACGCATTCATGAAGCTGGTGATATCGGTGTCACTGTCGAGACATGACTCGATCGTAAGAGATATCTATCTCATCTCTGAAGTATATGACGAGCAAAATCTATTTCAGTCTGACCAATGCAAACGCTGTGCACGATATATCATCATGGAGGAGTATCTTATAGTAAGAATTTGCCTCTGATCATTTACTCCCAAGTCGCCTGTCCCAGTGACTCACTCCTTACAAGCAACTGCATTCACAACAGTTGCCATTCGCACTCCGATGCTGAAACTAGAACATGGGTTCTGACTCCATCTGCAGAGATGAATTCCCTTCCTCCATAGTCCACCCGAGAGAGTTGTCATATGATATCAAATAATCGGAGGAGAAGCTTACATACAGGTTACTCCCAGTGGTCCTTTGGTTCATGCATAAGAGCTTTACTAAGACTTTTCTGCGACAAGAACACCACATGTATGATCACTCTCAAATGATTATTTTGATTTGGAGGATGAGTCTGAGTCGTGGAAAGATACCGAAAAGTATTTGAATATATACTATGGATGTATATATGCTGTATACTATGATCCAAACCTCTTACGAGTTTTTTTACATCCCACACATTGGATGAGAGAAACATACATTGGATTGGAGGAGGAGATATAATAAATTACAAACCTAAATATAGAAGAGCTAGAGTAACATTGCTTACTTGTATTGATACAATTACATATAGTTCATATTATTTATTATTATCAATACATAACAGCAATTTCATCGTTTGTTAAGATTTCTGCATAAAACATAAATATCATAAAACACAGGTTTTATATATTCGTTGGTTCATTTCTATTCCAAATTGTATTTAAATAAAGTTTCTGCTTGCACTATTTGCACAGAAATCTTTTATCGATCATGTTGGTTCTTATCATATTTGTATATTTCAAATTTTTATATAAATATTTTCTATATCAAACTATGTAAATTATATAAATAAATACAATATTGTAAAACTGAACATATTAAATTTGTTAGAATGTGAACATATGATATTTCTAAAATTGTACCAAGCCAAATTTAAATTTGATAAATAAGTTATTTTCTGGAAATTTTTGCTCTATAAAATGTTTGTTTGAGATGAAAATATTTTATATGATTATCATGAAAAGATACAATGATAAACATTTATTTATGCTAGTCATGACAAGATTATTTGATGTCAAATTTGCTAAATTTGGATATCATATATCATATTTTGCATCTTAAGAAGATTCACGTTAGTAAAAGGTATTTGAATTGATATGATTCATGTTTGTCTATTTCAAAAATCACACATGAGCAATAACAAATTTTTTTCTTGTGTGTGGAGGTTTGTTATGTGCTTTAGACTAAAGTTATTTAGGAATTTGGAAGCATTACATTTAAAAAAATAACATAGAATAAATTTTGGTTTCAAAACTCATAAATTTAAAATTTTGCTTAAATATTTTCATATAAAAATGTTGCAATCGTCTATTGAAGATTTATTCCTTTATATTCAATTCTGTTTGTTGGTTATGATTTATATATTGTATGGATTTAAATTATCAAATTCAAATTAGTAATTTATAGTAATAACTACTTTCAAAAATTAAGGAGTCAAGTTAAGATTTAGACTAGATAGAAGATTAAAATATTTGAACACAAAAAATTAAAACTTTTAGTAAACAGTTTTAAAGGTAATGCAAACATTACTTTTAGTAATCCATATCACCATATCATATACTTGGCAAAAAACTGTAACTCCCCGGGCCGAACCCGTTGGAGCAAAGGGCACGAGACTATAGAAAAAAGGGCACGATTATATAGCCAAAGAGAATAAGCGGCGCCTAAAATCATCCCAAGTGCTGCTAATGTGGCCACTAACCTATTTCTTTGGAAAGCTCCTACTAATATAAGAAATTCCCCGATAAAGCTGCTAGTACCGGGTAAACTCATATTGGCTAATGTAAAAAATAAGAAAATGGTAGAGAAAATAGGCATGGTGCTGACTAAACCCCCATAATATTTAACAATTCTTGTCTTATGTCGGTCGTATAGAGCGCCAACACATAAAAAAAGGGCTCAAGAAACCAGTCCATGACTTAACATCAAAATTTTAATCAAAAAAATATTGAAAAAATCAAAGAATGGATAAATCAATTTAAATAAAAAAAAATTTGAAGCTAAAATTTCCAATTTTTCATTGAGTATGATGCTTGCTTTCTCTCAATGTCATAGACTTCTTTATATTCTTTTTTAAATAAAAAATAAAATTTGAGCATTATTTTTTAGATGTATCTGTTCTATGATTTATCTTTTCATATTCAATAAGAATGCCAAAGTTGAAAAAAATCATATTTAAAAGATTCTAGAACTAATATGTTTCTTTTTTGTAAATATTTTATTTAATAAGCTAAGATTATTAGAAAAAATCCAAAAATCAATCTCTAGTCAAAAGTTTATGATATCAAAGATATATATATATATATATATATATATATATATATATATTATTGAATGTAATATTGTGACATTGTGAAAAACTCCAATATTGATCAAATATTTCCATGAATTATTGCAATTGAAGAAGCAAATAATAGCTTATGAGATTCACATTTATGCTTACTCTTTGATGAGATTGAACATCATGCACCAAACAATATGAATCGTTAAAAAAACTAAATTCTTAATTTCTTACTAATTTAATATTTTAAGATGTTTCGAAAAATAATTATTGATTAAATAATTATTATTATATTTAAATTAAAAATAAATTTATTATAAAATAATCAAATATTTTAATAGGAAAAACTCAAATACTTTCAATAAGCTGAAAAATATATTCCTATGAAATGTGAAATTTAATTGCTAACTGATTGCAAGATTTAGAGCATTGAATATTAATTTATAGCAAATACATATAGTATATGAAATATAATCTAACTAATGACATGATTATGACTCATAACAGATTATTGACTGAGAGAAATCAAGCTTTTATTAATTGTAAAAATGTGATCATATATATATATATATATATATATATATTGATGACCAAAAAATTGAATTAAATTTAAAATTAAACTTACAAATTTGAAAAAAATTTAATCTTTCGTTTAAAAAATATCCCAGAAATTATTATAGATTAAATATAATAGATTTGAAAAAAAAATTGAGTGATATTAAATTCTTTATATGTGGTTTTTTTAATTACTATTATTAAATAATCATCTTTTGCTTACAATAAAGCAGTACAGCATCATCTATTTTTAAATATATTCTAGATTTGATATTGCTGTAATCAGAAGCCAAATAACGGGATAGATGTTTAACCTATCAAAGAGGAAATCTGATAATTCTTAAAATTTATTTCAAATTTCAAGAATTGATTCAAGTCATTTTTTAGATATGAAAGAGTATGATATTTTTATGATCTAATGAAAAATGAAATATCCTTAACATTTTAGTTTGATGATAAATACAGACATGATCTTCAAAATTTTATTCTGAAATTATATATATGATCGCATTTGGACATGCATAAATTGATTAGAATTTTTTTGAAAAAAAAGTATAATTTGTTTAAAAAAATATTGCCAGAAATTATCAAGAAATTTTTTTATTTGATTGATTGTATGAACCTCTCATTTGAAGTTATTTGTAACAGTGTGTTGTCTATCTTCATTGAGATAATCAAACTACATAATACGTTCCAGCAAATCAGATTATAAGTAGCAAGACAATGCAGATCCATATTGAATATGAATTTACTCAAAAATGTTATAATATCAAGATACTGTAGAAGGATTTAAATGTACATAATCTAGTCTAGATTTTGAGAAAAATCATTTCAAAGTGAACAACAGTGATCATTTAAACTAGATTATGAGTTTTTCTTTCTTCAAGGTCTTGAAGATGATCTTCTTTCTTTATCTTGAGTTCACAACATGTCAATCAGAATCTAGAAACTTCCGATTGATAATGGTTTGATAATGATTAATTAATGTATTATATTAATATTTAATACGATTATTCATAAATAAACATAATCTTAATATAAGATCTAGTCTTTTACTTTTTCTAAATTTTAAAATAGCTTTGCTCATCCTGAACTTTTTATAGATTCTCCTACATAAATTTTGAAAAAAGATTAGAAAGCAAATTTTATAACCAAAGTAAGGATTTGGATTAATTCTGCAATACATACAATCATATGCAAAAAACCACAAATATATTTATGACCGCAATCAACTTATGTAAACAACATGTATTTTGTTATTGTGCTTATCTCTTTGTTATCTTCTGAGTAAGTCGAATGAGTCAAAATAAGTGAAAGTTTTCAGGTTTGCCCATCTCTTTGTCATATCTTATTTGAGTTGAATGAGTCTTGTTTGATCCTTATGTGGTTGCATGTGTTGAGATTTGCAGCGCTTATTTGTTATCTCCTAACTCAGTTCATTGAATCTCACGTTTATCCTACTGTAGTTGTATATTTTGAGGTTTGCTTATCTCTTTGTCATGTCTTAAATGAGTTGAATGTGTTGAGAGTTGCTTATCTCTTTGTCCACTCCTAAGTGATTTGAATGAACCAAACTTAAGTTAAAAGAGTTGAGGTTGCCCATCTCTTTGTCGTGTCTTGATTGAGTTGAAAGTGTTGAGAGTTGATAATCTCTTTGTCCATTCCTAACTGAGCTGACTGAATCAAACTTAAGTTAAAAGTGTTGAGGTTTGCTAATGTCTTTGTCATGTCTTGATTGAGTTGAATGTGATCAAAGTTGCTTATCTCTTTGTCCACTCCTAAGTGAGTTGAATGAACCAAACTTAAGTTAAAAGTGCTGAGTTTTGTTCATCTTTTAGTCATCTATTAACTCATTAGAAGAAGTCTTGCTTTACCCCTATGTGGTTGCATCTCTGAGCTTATTTGACTGATTCTTGCTTGATGATTCGGTTGCATGTGTTGAGGTTTGCTGAAAATCTCTTTGTCATCTCCTAATTGACTTGAACATATTGTGATTTGGTAATATATTCGTCATCTACTAATTGCGTAGAATGAGACTAACTTAGTTAATTGAGTTTTGCTATTTTGAAAATCTGATGATTCTAGCAATATATTTATCTTTAAGTATTTCAATAGGAGATTTGTTCAAATTATCAAATGTGTTGATGGTTATAATTTTACTACATCAGTATTCATAAGTACTTCTCCTTTCGTCGTTGTTGATATTATAGAGAAAAGCCACAATAATCAGAACGGTGTCTTCATTAACTTTCATGTTGCTAATAGGCAGTGAATATATGCATGAAAGTTGAACAAACCAACAATCTAGAAGATGCAACAATCAGATATTTTATGACTAAGGGTCGGAGATATTGTCATTGTTGAAGACAAGGCAATTGACATGTCGTCTTGAAAGTTCAAAGAGCCTTCGAGGAGCTACCGAGCGCCACCTGATTGAGCTCTCGTGTACGAAATTTCGTTTTCTCAGAATCATCAGCGCAAAAGAAAGATAGCAAGAGTTGTTCGATTCGTCTTCGACAGACGAACTGAAAACAACTGCAGTGCTTGGCACACGAACAAAGCTTCAGACATTTGATGTGGAAAGTCGAAGCGGTACCACAACATTGTCAGAGACGAAACCCTCAGCGATGGTACAACACAATTCCGTTCAATCGGTACGAGCGTACCAGAAACCATCGCCGAATGCACACCATCTTCGGATGGGAATGAAGGAAGGCCAAGACGGAGAAAATCGCTGATGCCGATAAGAGCCCTCCGTCCTCCACAAGCCCAGAGGCCAATCCGCCACACGACGATCCAAGAAAGGACAAAACGGTAAAAGTTCCGATCTACTGAATGAACATCGAAGAAAGCTCAGAACGTCAGTTTCAGAGGGAGCAGCCTCCGCATGCATGTCGTGAAGTCGGGAAACCGGAGGACGCAGACCGGTGGTCAGAAGTCGAGTACACCCGCGGTCTCGCGACGATATGTTTCCAGGACTCACGACATTCAGAGTTCAAATGCCTCTCGTACCGCAGCCGCCGCGCCGCAGGCTTGCCGCTGACTGGACCCAGCTGCTCAGCGCGCCGCGCTCGCGCGTCCCTCTCTCCCACAAGAACATTTAAAACAAATTTCTCCAGAGATATAATTCCGCTTCCAAGCTCTGGAGAAAGAATATTCGGAGCATCCGCAGTTCAGCAGACAAAATCTTTCTTATCCAGCTTTGGATTATCCAGAAAATTTTCTCCAGAAATATGTTTCTTTCTTTAAATATTTCTTATTGACGCTTGGATTTTTCGTGACTTTCGGATGAGACTGGTGTGCTTGGTCACTATGTGGGGCGATTGCAGCACCGAGGGTGATAGTTATAGGAACTAGACGTCGGAGTGCGAATTTGAGATTAGGCTCGTGAGAAGCAAAGACGTGTGTTCAAGAAACGCTTGGGAGCTATTTGAAATGTTGACACAGGAGAGAGAGAGAGATCGATGGGTACAAGGCATGAAAGGTGCTGCGGGGCGGAACGATGCTGCGCGCGTACAAATGGAGAAATGGAGGAATGGAGATCGAATGCATGTAGAGATGCGAGAGATGTAGAGGACTCAGATGAATATGTACGTCATAAATAAAAAATCTCAAAGATCGAAGGAGTATCGCCACGCCATCTTGCTTTAGCAGTCTGGAGAATTTCAGTTGATGCGGAGGGCAGAACTGAAGATCTGATCTGCTTGCGCATGGAGGTGGGATTGAGAGTTTGATGTGTTGTGTGAATGAGAGACGATTTCTGTGCTGTGGAAATTTGGGAGTTCGACGTGTTCACATGGAGAAAAAGATTTACAGGGAGGATCACGAGGAACAGCCCTTTGATATGGAGGATTCTCTGATCTTTACAGCCCGTCAAAACATCGTGTTGGAGATGAAGAGGAGTCCCATCAAGCGGTACTCGGCGCTGTTTTCTGTTCTTCTGGTCTTCAGTTTTGCGTCTACTGCTACACGTCTGCGGCACGTCGTTTTACCTTCACTTCGTTTGTGTGAAGGATTTCTACCCAACTCCCGCTTGTGTAAGTAGTTTCTCTTGACTTTGATATGTCAGTGCTGGCGAGATTGTATCAGCTTTTCTAGGCACTCTTTTGTCTAAATGCGCTCACCGTAACTAGCGGCTTGAGTCTGAATTAATTTTACCTATTGATTTCAAACGTCAGCTTTCATACTTATGGACACAGAGTCTTGTAATCTTTTCTAGCTTCTCCGATGATCCAGATTTTGAAGATGTCATAATGAAGAGGACTTTGTTAGTGTGTATCATTGATCCCATCACATGTAGTCTCCATCGTAATTGAAAGTCAACAACCAGAATAGATTGGAGTATTCAAGACATTGTCCAATACTCTCGTGTTTGGTTCTTATCCTGTTTTCTTTCCACTCATACTTGATTCATGTGCTTCACTTCAGGTTCAGATACTGCGCGGCTGCTCACGGGACATCGGAGTGAGACATACTGGTGCGATCGCTCCGATAATCGAACAGATATATGTTACATACATGGCGATGTTCATTTATATCCTGGCATTGCAGGACAGAAAGTTTCGGTACATCTCTTTTCAAACGACGATTCAACTTGGCACGGAGAAGAACAAATTCAACCGTACACCCGCAAGTATGATCCAGCAACCATGGACACAGTGGACCCTGTCGTTCTCAAGAGCAAGTATACAGAGTTTTTTCATCCTGTTGAGTCGGTCTGTGACATTGTTCATTCTGTTCCTCTCATACTGTTTTCTGCCGGCGGCTATACTGGGAATCCTTATCATGACTTTCAAGATGTGCTTGTGCCCATGTTCATAACGTCCAAACCTTACAATGGCGAGGTGGTTTTCGGCATCACCCAAGCGAGAGACTGGTGGCTAGAAAAGTTCAGCCCTCTGTTGAGGCAAATGACTAAGTACGAAATTATTGACATGAACCAGAACAAAAAGGTTCATTGCTTTCCAGACGCAACCATCGGCCTTCGTTTGCATGGAGAGTTGAAAGTGGATCCAGCCCACATGCCACACAATGAGACTATGAAAGATTTTCAAGATATGGTGCACCGAGCTTATGGGGACTGCCCCAGCCACAAACATCTAGCGGAAGCAAAAGCAAGCAGCAGATGTGCAAACTACTCATTAAAAGGTAGTGACTGCAAGCTAAAGCTAGTCATACTCGCTCGGAATCAAACACGAATGATTCTGAATCAAGCGCAGGTAGCAAGTTTCGCACAAAGAGAAGGCTTTGATGTGCAAGTGCTAAATCCATGGGGAGGTACAAACTTAAGGACACTCTACAAGTACGTTATCCTACCTTTGATCCCTGAACCACTACGAATTCTAGTGACTGAGTTTTTGTGTCTCCCATTGACAAGTCCTGAAATCTGCTCGCTTGTATCTTGTCGCAGTTTTGTCTCCCATCATCATACTTCCTGCTTTCATGGGCTGTTCTGCTTACATGCGCAGGGTGATAAACGGAGCCGATGTGATGATGGGCGTCCATGGTGCGGCTTTAACTCATATGGTGTTCATGCGACCACGGTCGGTTCTCATCCAAATCGTGCCGCTAGGTACAGACTGGCCCTCCCGTACATATTACCAGGAGCCGGCTATCAACAGCTTGCATCTGCAGTACTTAGAGTATCGAATAACTCCTGATGAGAGCACACTCAGTCGCACCTACAGCCGGGACCATCCTGCTGTGACCGATCCAGAGGCAGTCATTGCGAAGAACTGGGAGACTCGTAAGAAGATCTACATGCAAGGACAAGATGTGCGCTTGTCGTTGCAGAAGCTCAAAATGGTGCTGCATGAGGCTAAACGCTTAGCTTCGATGTCGATGAGTTGATGGATAGCAGTTGGTGGCAGTGGTGTCTAAGACTGTTACAAATTTCCTGTAATTCAAAGCTTCAGTATCCAGCGCTAATCATTCAATCCAGCAGGGCTTACAAGCTAGATGTCACGACGGAATTACGTGTTGTTATTAAGAGATTTTATCAAATACTAGACCTCTCAGAAAGGTTTGAATTATAAGACTCATAGATAACTTAATTTTGTATATAATGACCACGAGATTTTTTTTCAGATATACGATGCTTGGCTTCGTAACAAGTCTCTATCTGGACCTTATCAGCTGAGAAACTTCATCATTGCCAGTTTGATAGTATCAAAATTTAGAATGAAAGAATCGAGCACTCTTGGAATATTAGAGCAAAGAACGCTTCTGCACGTACCATATGAATGCCACGAGTTCACTTGAGCCAATATAAGTTTAACTGTCGGTAATTTTAGACAGTTCACACGATATCTAAGCATATGAAACAGATTCATAGCGACGTGGCTGGCCAGACCATTTTTGAGAGTATATGCTGCTAAGTTATTGCATTTCCTTATCACGGATCTTCATTCTAACGCTAACTCAACTAGAACTGCTGATGAAGCAGGTTTTGTGATAGCAGAGATTTTCAGATGTTCGATCCTGCTCAAGGACCTCATTGTCGGTCTAGTAATTATTATAAATAGCTTTTTCATCTTTGGTGATATTAATGTAGACAATCTCAAAAGATTCTCTTAACTCAATAGTATGTTGGAATGTGATATTGTAAATATTATACGAATTCTTTTCACCTAAAATGCATCCTGTGAAAATTCATTATTTTTATGTGGTAAGGTTTATAATGTAAGATGTATTGAAATTAATATACATTTTAGGCAAAATATGAGTAAATATAGCTGTCTGTCGTCCCCATGAGAAAAAAATTCACTAGAACTCATCATTTTTGTAATATATTGATAGAGGAAATTATTCATGTACATATCTTACAACAACAAACATGGTTGTGACATGAAATTTTTACGTACCAACACAGATTTACCATAATCTAGACCTCTAACCTATAATAATCTATAATCTCAGCTTGTATTTTGAAAAATATCAGTTTTTATCAAAATTATTACATATTAAATAAATCGTAAAACTCAACATTTCATAAAAAAATATTTTAAAGGTGCAAAAAAATAATATATCAAAAAATCAAAAATTGCAAATTTACTATCATTATAATATTATAAAGTAAATTAAAAGACTTTTGAATAATTTTTAATTTTTTATAATATGAAAAAAAAATTCATATTAAATCTTGAAAGATAAACTATACAATTTATATTACGATTTTGATACAAACATTTTTATTTTTATTTCTCAAAAAAAACTAAATTTAAAGATTTTTTTAAAACGAATCAGAAGAAAAATTTCATATTATTTATATTCTGATAGTGATAAGTTAGATTATTTATCAATATATATTCAAATCAAAATTAAAAAAATAATTTATGATAATATATTCAAAGAATAAAAGGATTATTTTTAAAATACATAATGTTGAAATATGTCTAAATCTTGCACATTATTGAGTTCAAAATTGCTATATTCAAAATATATTTATATAATCTATCATCAATTATTCAAATGGTGGACCAAAAAAATGAAATTTATTCCATTGATTCCGTAATTATAATTTGAAATTTAGAATTTGTACACGCATTTGAAGTAATGATGGTTAATGGTAATATTTTATATAATGTTTTCTTACAAATCAAACTCATTATCCATTAATACAATGCTTTTGTAGAAACATACTGATGTAATGCAATGTTTATGAGCATAAATATATTGACACTTGATAGCTATGTATTGGATCAAGAAATGATTTTGTATTATTTTCAAATGAAAAAAAGTGAAGATTTCTAATTCTCACTTGAAATATTGTAATTTTTTTTCTTTAATAGGTTTTGTATTCCAAGTACAGAAATCAATTTTTCAAGGATTGATTCAAAATGAAGTTTTTACAATTTTGTGTATAAAAAGCTTAGATTATTTGTATCTATTGAAAAATAGTCATGGTTAGATATATTCAGTTACGTCTGATTGAAAATATATCACGGGCAAATGTTTGAAAATTATTAATTAAATTTAAGTTCTTAAAATCAAATAAATCTTTATATTGGAATCTTTTTTGGTAATGTAGAATTCTTCCATGAAGCAATATTCATAAAGGATTAAGGAACATATAGGACTAGGTTATAGAACCTACACAAATCATACCGAATAATGATCTATCTAATTTACTCCTCCTTATCAGTCAATGACAAGACCTAAGTATCTAGTTTGCTAAGTTAGTGATAGTGCTAATAGTGCTAAGTTAGTTCATCGTCATGCACTAAATGATATAATAAAAAAAATAAAAGTTTTCAACATCTCACTTAACTCCAGTCTTGACCATTCAGAGTCCATAGTAACACGTAAACTCATGTGTCGCAAACCTTTCAAAGGGCGATGATCAACACGGTCCCGAACTTTGGATCGTCTTGTTGTGAAGAGGTATAGTCATCAAATGACTGAACGGCAAAAGTCATAGACCAGGAGAGGGACCCCAGGAAAATAAGCCAGCATTGATTCTATTGGCAGCAGAGGCTCAAGTTTCAACCATGGTAGAAAACTCACAGAACGCAGTCCGTCCGATCGAGACGAATTAGGGGCGTGGGGCCTCGCAGTCCGGAATCAATTAATGGCACAAGCACGGTCAATGCTTATCGGGGGCCATGCCATGTAGGGCCCACGTCGCCCTGGCTCAGACGGTGGGGGAGTCCCCGATTGGCACATGGACGATGCGAAGCCGGCCCTGTCCCCACCACGTCCACCGGGTCTCCGACATCCATGGACCTTCTTGCGTTCCGGACGACTGCCCGACGGCGAGTGTGTGTCCTCGTGCATGACTAGAACCGGCTCCGCAGCCCGCAATACACCGACAGTTGTACATCGCCGCATTCGGAACACCTTGTCTCCCAATGGCGTTGGGCGTGGTCGTGTTCGTGATCCTGCCCCTGCCCCTTCCCCTTGCCCTGCCCCCTTTCATCCCACGAGGCAGATCGAGAATTGCTCGAGGTTGTTGGTCGGTCGGTGGTCGGGGTTGCAGTGGGAGGCGAGAATGTGCTTCCAGCGCCAATCGCCCCAGCTCGGTCGCCATCCCTGTGAAGAAGAAGAAGAAGAAGGAGAAGTTGTCGAGGAGAGCTCGAGGGGAGAGAGGGAGTGGGAGTGGGAGTGGGAGTAGGAGGAGGAGGAGGAAGAAGAAAAGAAGAAGCGACGGAGCATGGCGCAGCAAAAGTGGTCGAGGTGGATAGTCGGTGGATTCCTCTGGTCCTCAGCGTATCTGCTGGTGGGAGTTCTCACAGTCTGCCCTTTCGTGCACAAGGCGATCGTCTTCCTCTTCTGCTGATGAGCTAGTTGCGACTGGGTGGGATCGGAATCGGAATGCTCGTGTTGGAGCCCATCGTGGCTCGATCAGCAGGCGACGGTGAGGTCTGGTCGATGGCCGGATTCGAGTCGTGCTCCGATGATTATTCCCAGAAGGGTGAGGACGGAGCCCGACCACGACGACGATGGTGGTGATGGTGGTAGAGATAGAGATAGAGATGCAGAGGGAAGTGCAAGGGACACGGGTTAGCCGGAAGATTGGGCTTGGCTAGTCTGTTGTATGTCGCAATTGAGAGATGGGAGCTTCGGCGTTGTAAAACTTTGTGAATGGGATCAGACATCAGACGACTAATTCTGCAGCAGGTTATGGGTGGCGGGTCGGAGGGTCGGAAGGAATGAAGGGAGGAAGAATCGGGTGAGGCGTCTGGGGGATGATGAGATCTGAGAAGACTGTCTGGACCTGGCCCTTCCGCCTTGAGTTCGCACGCAGGCCATCTTCGTCGCACTGCTGGTCACTTGATGACGCTCTAATGAGACGGTTGACATCTGAGCATGATTGGTTCGAGAGCCAAAGTTCTCCCGGGAATGCAAGTGACACAGTCTTCCTCGATGATTAAGGAGCTGAAAGTTCATCGTACGTGGCGAGCGATGGAGCTGTAGTTCGGTAGTATAGTGTGAAGTTGTTCAACTGGAAGTTGTCCTGCTGCTGCTTTCGTCCTGCAGCAGGGGTACGACCAACCCTCCGTCCATTACTCGATAGTGAGAGCGAGATAGCTCATCGCACTGTGAGGTTTTGGAAATGATTCAGAATTCATGGAGAACAGTCCTCAGATGGGTAACGAAAGGGTACTTGCGTTTCCAATTGTCACTCATGGAGAATTTCTGTGTCTTTCCTTCGTGAGACACACACCGTGCACGAGAGAGAGAGTGCACAAATCGAAATTGCTTCTGAATTGTAAGACAGTCCCGTGCTCAGTTTTGTGTGTGATTGTCGTAAAAAACATCGCATGTGATCATCCCTTTTAGCTCTCGTCGGAGCAACTAACCAAACGTATGTCCCTGACATCGATGCGATGGTGTGGTCAACATTCTGATCCGCTCTAGTGGGAGATCTATTCGATGGAAAGACAACAATTATTCATCTGATCGTCTGATACTTTTACAATTTGCGTTGCAGCTTTGCAACTAATCTTATCACCGTCCACGGTGATAAGATTAGTGTTGGTGTGCAGCACCGGGTGTACAAAGTAACGATGTAGATCGTACGTATCTGGAGAGCCTCCACTCGTGCGGGTCCGCAAGAGGGCTGACTCACATTTAGCCTTATCCCTTTTCTGGTAGACTCCCTTAGTACCGAGCAGTGAGGCTGGATCTCAATTTCTAACGAGGGAAGTTCTGATTGTAAGCCGTCTCTAGCAAAAGCGACAAGAAGAATTTTGTGCAGTACAATCATGATGTCTTCATTTCGGAAGGTTTAACGAATGGAAGAATTTGAGTACACTGTTACATTGTATGAATCCGCCAAGACGAAAGCAAAAGTGAATTTCGTGTCAAGGATTCATAATATAGCGGATACTTGAAGACTACTTTTACTCCCAAACTTTGACGGGGGAGAAGGGTTTGACGGCGCTGTCCACCCATTCTCAACTACTTGGAAGTCATTTATCAACAAGTAAAAGTTTTCTGAAGAAGTAGATAGACACAATATAAAGTCATGCTATCATTTTATTAATGTTTTTTTCAAACAGTTTTGCAAAATTACTAGTTTAAAAAAATTTATAAAATTTTCAGTTGAAATTTGAAGTTTCTTATGAAAGTTTTCAAAATAATGTGTACGTAACTTTCAATTGAAGTTGATAAGAATTACACTTTCAGCATGCTAACTATGTAAGCAACTAATGATATTGTTCGAATAAAATAATTTTCTGATTAGATTTAATTTCTTAAATTTCAAAATAATTTAAAAAAATATTTTATAAATTTTAGAACATTATTTATGGATTCAATATATAATATGTTTGAAATGTATGATGATTAATATATATATAAAATTTGTACATATAATCTAGTAAATAATATATTACTATTCAATTTCTAATAAGAAATTAAAAAAAATTCAATTAATACATATTTTTATTTTGATCTTTTGATAAACTAGATTTTGATTTAACTTAGAATTATGCTTTTGAAATTATAAAATTCAATATTTTTATATACATAATGTATTAGAATTTCATTTAGATTTTGAAGCATTATATTTACTTCATTATAGTTAGTTCATATATTTAGCGAAATTTCATATATGTTAACGAGAAGTGAAGTTGGCGGAAATTTGAGAAATTTGCTTGATAGGACCCAATACGTTCCATTTTACCCGACGGGTCACCGTTATTTATGTTCTTGTAACTGATTTGTTTCCACTTCAATGAAAAAAAATAATTTCTTCCCGAATTTAAATTAGTGAGATTTTCCATGGCTCCCAATCTCCGTAGTGGAAGAGCAAAATGTCTCGCGACCAAAGTCCTCTTCCCGACGGGGAGGGGGCCGTCGGCCGCAGGGTCGGTGCTTTTCCTTCAACAACCGTAGTTAAATTTTATGACTGAGTTCATGTTCCGAGGAGCACCGCCGCTCTCTCTGTCCGGTGGGAGATTCCCGAACCGTCGCGGTGTAAGAGTCCGGGCCCTGTGATGGGGTTCGGGTTCGAGGCTGCGGGTCCCTGTCATGGGGAATCGTTTCCGTTCCGTGGCGGGGTGGGAGGCTCCCGTCGGATAGGGCTAGTCGGCGTGTCCGCCCTTTGAGCAGGAAAAAAAAAAACTTACGACTCTCAGCGACGGATATCTTGGCTCCCGTAACGATGAAGAACGCAGCGAAATGCGATATCTAGTGTGAATTGCAGAATTCCCCGAATCATCGAGTTTTTGAACGCATGTTGCGCCCGAGGCTTTGCCGAGGGCATGTCTACCTGATGTCCCATAATGATTTTACAGTTATCATGTATAGGCATAATCTACTTACTCCTTACTCTATTTTTTTCTAAAACTCTTGGTGGAAATCATGTCAGTTGTGTATTTTGGTCCGTGAAGTGCATTTCACTTTTCAACAAAGAGCTTAAGTGCTTTTACTAACCCGGATTGAAAAGAATAACAAGAACTCGCAGTAGAACATCGATGACGGTGGATTGAATTGCCGTCGGAAGGGTCCCATAGGTTAAAATGGAACTTATTGGGTCCAATCAAGCATTCAACGTTCTGATGGGATCTCATCAAGCAAATTTCTCGCGGAATTTACTAAACCATCGATAGTTTTGGTAGTTTACTTAATCCGTCTGGGTACATGCATCTAGAGAGGAAGGTTAGGGCATTTGCTCTACTTATTAGAGCAGCGAGTTTGATTGCGGCGCTCAACATCTTATTCTATGTCTCCGTGGAATCCTAGAAAGGAAAACCGCGTGATATCTTTGTGTAGGCTCATGCTCTCCGTCTTCTCTACTCGTGTTGTGCTGATTATTAATTTTCACTTCATCAATTAAATAACATAATTTTAAAAAAAATTTGTTTACTGATTTGTGCTTTTTCTATACTTGCATTGCATATATGTATTGATAAGAATATAAATTTGATAACAATTTCAGTCATTTGAATGTTCAATTATTGAGATGTGAGTTCTGTCTTAATCTCACTTACATTTAATATGAATGGCATTCCGGGATGATTTAGCATAAAGTTTATAAATTGTCTTCGCTCAAAAAATTTCTGTAGTTTAATATATCTACAAAAATCTCTTCTTATATCTTTCAAAATTATTCATAAAATAAATTATTTATCAATGAATACAAAGATGACACACATTTTTTTTCCAAATTGATTCAAAGTTTAAAAAATAATTTTTCATTTATTTCAATGACCAATTTTTGTTATAAAATAAAAAAATTATTATAGAATTTTATTCTTAGTGAACTTAATCAAAATAACTATTATTAATTAATGTGAAATTTTTTGTATTAAAAGTACCACTAACTTGGCTAAAATTTCTAGAAATTGTATTACGCATATATTCAAATTTTGAAATTATAATGACAATCTTGAATATTTTTAAAACTGATTTTAATTCAAAATCAAATGAAAATCAATTTTTTTTTCAATTTACATCCTAAATATTTTAAACCTTGTGTACTAAATTATTATATTCGGTAAAAATTATTTCAAATATACTGCGAAATAAAAAATCAATAATTGAATCCAATCATGACTACAAGGATAATAAGTTATAATTTTATTGGTGAATTCTAGAATAGATTTAATCTTATAATCCTTACAACGATATAATGCAATGGCATAATTATAGCGATATAAAATATTGTTTTCACAGACAAGTTATGTTTGATCAAATCAACATCTATGAGCGACATAGTTTTTTTTGATAAAACTAAATGTATACTACGTTTTAAGTATTGTATTTGGATAGAAATATCATGAATTTACAATTTTGTTATCTCTTAATATGATTTTCTTCAATAATGTTCCGGTTTTGAGTTAGTTCTAATTCAACTATGTTGTATTAGTTTCTTGAATTTTTTTTATAATGGTTGAATATATTATGGAGATCACTGATTTTAAGATACGAATCAGGAATGAAATTCGTAGAAGTCAGTTAAATTGTTATAAGTCATTCATTTAATTCTATTGGATTCAAACATGCTAGTCTTAACCAAGTAACTTGTCATTGTATAAAAAAATTAATCTTGAAATTAAGATGAAGATGAAATATTTATAAATTTGGAAAATAATATTTTGTTATGATAACACAAAAATACCAAAATAGAACACAATGGTACAGATTTGTCAGGACAGAAGCAACATCGAAGATTCAAGAATTGTCACTAATTAACATTCTATTGAAGAGTTTTACTTCTCAGACTCATGTCACTCCCAGAAGACATTGCTCAATTACGGCCAAAGGTCCGAAGAGCAGAGTATAATCACACACACAACCTGAAATTTGTCCAATCAAAGCTTGCAGGAATCGCATCTGACCTCACACTCAGATTTCAGGGGAAAAAACTTCCCAGAATTGCTCATTCTCAGCCCACTGCTCCGAATATTTGAACTTGAACTTGCCTAAATCCTAAATAGCATCATGCACACTCGGAACATCCGAATCGGATACTCGCGACTTCAGATGCGATATCTTCAACAAACTGAAGCGCACCATGCACGGTGACAGACACACACAACTTCACGAACGCGCACGATAGACACAGGTTGACAACAAAGATGAAACAATTGACAGAAAAGCTCCCAAGAAAAGAACCTTGGGTCTCTTTATTCACTCTAAACTCCTAGACATCTCAACTGCCCGAGGCAAGGTAGTGTAAGGCATAGTGCCATCAGACACAACGGTTACAGTACCTGCGTTCTCTGAGATTCCGTCCGCTCCTAATCTATGCAACACGCCTAAAATCTTGATCTCTAAGTTCTCCCGCGTTTTTTCAAATCCGGAAGAGAAAAAATTGACTACTCTAACTAACTGCCAATGTCCGACGGTTCCGCTGGTCTTGAGTCCCATCAATCGCCGCTAGAGCGAATCCAATTTCAGCCATTTCAACGTTTGGACTTTCCACATAACAAAACCATGCAGACACTTCTCAACTTGCATACGCAAACAGTCGGTTGTTTCCTCCTTCAGCTGACAAAACGCCAATTCCGCCACTTCCACTCTAGTCCACGACGCCTCCAACTGCTCCGTAATTGCCTTCAACTGATCTCGCAGCCGATCGCAATCTGCATCCAACTTTAATCTACATTCGACCTTCGAAGACTTGGCCATTTCACACTCTGTCAATTTCGTCGTCCAACTAGCCATTTCGACTTCATGCTTCTTCATCTGCTCCGTCTAACTCGCCGTAAGTTCATTTGTGTGCTGCAATTCTTTGTTGTGGACTGCAGTGCGTGCCTGGATCCTTCATTGAAGTTCCATCCTCTCAGTCTTCATCGTCGCAATCTCTCGCCGAAGATCTTCTCTTCTCAGTTCTTCTTCTGCACGAAGTTACTTCTCCTTGGCTAGGTTCAACCGAAGGACTTCGCACTCCATTTCCTTTGCTCAAAGTTGCTCTTCACGCTCCTGCAAAGTAATTGTCGCGCACTCAGAAGTCAAGCTCGCAAATCTTTTTGCTACCTTCACTATTGCTTCCACACACTTTCTCTTCATCTCTTAGGTGGTCTTCACTGCAGTTGCTCGCCTGATGTTAGTTCTAATCTTGACCAACTCTACATAAAACCCTGCCTCCTTCGATATCGCATTCTTCTCTCGCTTCCCATCCAAGTACCTCAACAAGGTAAAAACACTATTCTGCAGGAAGTCTGGAAATGTAACCACCAACTCCTTAGACTCTTCCGTCGGAGTGCTCTTCTCAGCTTCCGGTCTTACCAACTCCGAAAACACCTGAGGCGAGGAAATCTAAGGAGATTTCACCACCGTCCCATCAATCTACTCTACTACATGCTCTAGTATCTTCTCGCTCAGAGTAAGCTCCTTCGCGTGCTCTTCGCTAGTCTTCGGCTCTAGCACGTCCGTCTTCTCCGAAATTTCATTCTTCTCCGGAGATGATTGCTTCCTCTCCGAAGGCTAAAGACCTTGACTTGATG